AGATGCACCAGATACAGCTCACAGATACACAGATACAGACACGGACACAGTCACACAGATACCGAATTTGCAGTTGAGCTTGCCACGACGAACGCCGGAGGCTGTTGAACCGACCGCACCACTCTGAACTCTTTCGCCAGTGTCCTTTTTTCGTTTATTTTTCGTTTATCGTTTTTCTTTTTTTTTTTACTTTGTAAGTTTATGCCGTTTTTGTGCACATTTTGGGTTTCTCTTTAGCGGCAGCTGCAGCTGCAGTTCGCGTTGCCAAAAGTGAAAAGAGGCGGCCGGCGGTCAACGGTCAGAAAACAGGTTCAAATGTCGGCGACCGCAGGCGCAGGTCCTGCCGCTGTGTCCTTACGTCTCTGCGAGTGTGTTTGTGTGTGTGTGAGCGTGTCTGTATGTGCCGCACAACTTTCCCAAAAGTATGCAAAGATATTTAGCCTAGTTTCGGCTCTCCAACATCGGTTTTGTTGCTTTTCTTGCCGCTGCAGCTTCTTGGCATTTTCATTTCAACTATGTATGTATTTCGCTCAAACTTATATATCTCAGATTTTTATTTATGGAAGATCGTTTCACTAGCATATTACACTGTTTATGTTTTTATTGTTGTTTTTAACACAACTGACACACCAACAAAAACACACATATGCAGCTGTGTGTATCTGTGTGCGTTTCGCTGTGTAGTAAAAATAGTAAAACGCTCGGCACTTAAAATAGGAGAAGCGCAGCGAAAAACCGTTTGCCGCTGTTCTCTTCTATTGTTGTTGTTATTGTTTTGGTTTCTGTCGTCGTTGTTGTTGTTGTTGATGTTATTGTTGTTGTTGTTGTGGTTGGTGTATTTGCCGCTGCTGCGTGTGAAAATCACGGAAAAAACGTTACACGCTCAAACGCCGGAAAATGAAAGACTAACCAGCGACGAGCCACTAACCGACTGCCCCAATGGCCGAATGCCTCCAACAGACCCGATTGCCCCACGAACTGCACACGAAGCTGAGCCGAAGAGCAAAGGGAACAGGGGAAGAGAGTCACTGAGATAAGGATAACCGAGTGCACAGGATAAGGAACGGAGTGGCAATGGAACGCTTGCCAGGCGATAACAACTGCGCCGCATTCTCTCTCGCTCTCCACTCTCCTCTCTACTCTCTGCGGTTTCGCCAGGTTTCTCTCGGCGGTGCAGCGGCGCATTTCGCAGGGGGTTGTGTGTTGTCGGCTCAGGGGGGCCATCAACGCCCCCTATTCCATCACTTCCCACCACCCCCCGCTGACTTAGACAAGCAAGCGCGTAAGTTTTTGACGCCCGTGTTAAGTCGGTTGGAAACAAAAAAAAATTGCTTAGAAGTCTTAAAATACTCTATGTGCCAAAAAAGTCTATTGACTTTAAGAATCGTTAAACTAAGTCTTTAAAATTAGTTTTACTTCATTGACTAGTTCAGTGTTTCAGCTATTAATTCAAATTGGGGGAAATGATAAAATAAATAATAAAATAGTAATAAATAATAAATAGAGCTGGCGTGACCCACATACTCTAAGCTTAACATTTAAAACAAGAAAGAAAACTAGCTTCGGCTCTCCAAACAAAATTACTTTAAGAGGCATCCCACTTGAAAATGTGTTTAAAATAAGATAAGTTATAGTCATAGAATTAGTGAACTTTGGTCAACATTCAGAAAAACCCATTTTTTTTGGAAAATTTTGAAATAAATAAAAAAAAAGATCGGTCAAAAAATTAATTAACGATAACTAATGTATTCTACACCAGCCAAGGCAGCGAATAAGGACACAGCGTTGGATTCTAAGTTTAAGATAAATAATTGACTGGACTCGCATCTAAGACTCACAAGACATGGATTGTCCCAAAATTTATAGAATAAGCCTAGGAAACTACCGAAATTGTTTAGCACTTTTGGCGCTCATACAAAATGTGCTGTTGGTCTCGCTCTATCTTAACTAAAAAATCTTTAGAGTAGTCACCTACTATGGCATTCTGTTCGCCTGGTATTTCAAAATGAGATTTGGTTGTAAGTAAGAAATTCAAAGAGTAACACCCTACTATAGTTTTCTGTTCGCCTGGTACTTCAAGTTGCGTTGGGCCCAAAAATTGGAACTTTTAGATTTTAAACGGACAGAAAGGCAGACAGACGTATTTCGATTTAAGTCACGATTTAGTTCAAGAATATAAATATAAATGGGGAATGAAGTGTCTCCTTCACTGCGTTGCAAACTTCTAACTGAAATTATAATACCCTTTGCAAGGGTATAAAAAATAAAAAGAGGATATTGTTTATAAACATTTACTAAGTTAACATATAACAGAATAAACTAAAGTGTTATTAGTATAGTTTTAATTTTGTTCTCAAGTTTGTTTATATGTATTGTATATACAACTTCGACCTAGAAAGAGGGCCTATAATAATACGGTTTACAGCACGAAATCTAGAACACATTGTTAAACTAAACTTCATTTGAAATTTTAAAAGCAGAATGTTTGTACTTAACTTTTAAATAATTGATAGGTGTATCACAGGAAAAAGCTGTACTCACAGTTATTTGCATTTGGTTGATTACGGCATTTTCGCTAGTTTCTATTCAGTGACATGTTTAAGAATTGATTATAGAACAAGTTACTTAATTAAGAACTCTCAGTCTGAGATTTAACGCGTGAGAGCATGAAGTAATAAAAACCTAAAGATTGTTATTCTGAACACTTTTACCTTAAAAAACGTGGATATTAAATGGAAATAAAAAATGTTGATATAACACATTCTTGTATTTTACGACACCTATAATCAGTTTCGCTAATAAAAAAAAGGTGCTTATATTTTTATGAGAAAAGTAATCCATTAGTTGAGGAGTTGGTTTCGCTAATCGCACTTACTATAGGATTAATAGGCTTCGCAAAGTAATTGTAGGGTATCGTAACATAGTGCCTTCAAAGGTGGAATCCCTAGTAAACGGTATTTCCACGATGGTGTCTGCGTATGCGATTGAGACCCCGACGGTTTGGCGGATGACGGGCCTCGAATTGCGAGCTGTACGAGGTGTCGTAAAAATAAATAAGCAAAACGGAAATTAATAAGACCCGAATGTTGCCGCCGTCGCAGCGACCTCCCATTCTGCCCCTGGGAGACCTGCCGCGACAATAGCCATATAGCCATAGAAATGGCAACCTCACCAGCAGCAGCGAAACAGCAGCAAACGCTGCATGACACTCCGAAAAAAAAGAATAAATATAGTAACAATAATGGGAAGTAAAATATATGTTCAAATTGTTCAAGTGGATAATATGAAAACCATTTAAAGATTTTATCAAATAAACGAGTTCCACTTTGATTATCGATTTTACATTTTCTATATATAAAGAATACACTGAATGATATTTTTTGTATCATGATTTTTCTTTTCGGTGCATCGGTGTAAATACAGTCGTAAATACAGGCACACAAACAAGTATTGCGATTGAGGCACACATACACAAGCACATATTTGGGTTCTAAAAGTGTGTGTTTACAACCGTTTCCTTCCTTTGTATTTGGCTTCCATTTTTTGCGTGTTCCTATTCTATTTGTATTTGTTACCGACCTGAAACTCATTCGTCTGGGTTGCACACAGGGCGTATGAGCAATATATTTATGTTTATAGCCTCGTTTCCAGCGTGTGTGTAGGCATAAAAGTGTCGCGATTTTCGAATGATTATTAGGCACGGCAATTCAATTCAGTAAATGAATTAATTCGATCATAAACCCATAGTACATTTTTGGAATAACAAATCTAGATTTCATTGTATATTCATGCTACTTTATTATGGTTTATTCAGCATTTATGAATTTTGTTTTTTAGCCATCCAGTCTAGTTTCTTTTGACTAGATTAAAATTCCTGAGATTCCTTTTTGTATCCCTTCGACAAACCATAATCAAACCTTCTTGAATAAAAGAAATTGATTTGTTTTTTTAAGTTTTATTTATGTAGTTTTTTATTTTAATCATTGTTTAAATCTACAAATACATTTACAGCGGAGGGCGAAAGAACAAAAAATTAAAAATGTTTACTCATTGTTTTGTTGTTACATGCAAATTTTTACTTCTGCGTGTTGTTGACAAATTTGTTGTGGTTTTGTTTCAAGTTCTTGCTTTTACCATCGAACGTTTATATAATTCTGCATTTGTTTATAAATATTTGTAGTCCATATTATGAGTTATTTATCTTTTGTTTTTGTCCTCGTTTGGTTTTTGTTTTGCTTCGTTTTTTAGTTTAGTATCATATTTTTTTCACATCAGCATTCATCGATCAATATTATTAATTACTCAATATAATTTGTTAACAACTAATAATAATAATTTTGTTTAGTTTTTCATTTTCTTTCATAACTAACATGCCATAATTATCGTTATCTCCAATGCTAATGATCATCTTCACTAAGTTAGAAAACAAGACAGTTGGAAAACGAAAACAGCAGCGAATTAAATTGGTATGTCTGGGTATATCTGCGTGAGTATGACTTGCGGTCTAGCCGAGCTTATTGAATATCCGATATCCGAATAGCGCTTTCTGATTTCTGAGCTCCATCATTTTTTCACAATTCTCAATTAGCTAGCGACCGCTTGCCATACCCATTCATTTGATAACGACAATGCCAAGCTTTTTAATTCGTTGAATTTCAATGTGCTGGCCAACAATTTGACCGCTCAACCGTTCGTGTGTTTGTTTTTTGGGGGCGTGTTTTTAGTGGGCGGGAGAAGCGACAAAAACAATCAAAGAAAAGGTAAACACAATACTGCCTTGGGCTTGCCCCATTTTGGGGCGCTGTGCCGTGTAAAACTTACAAACATTTATTTTGTGGGCGCTTTTTTGTTTTGTCTTGGTTTCGTTTGTTTTGTTTTTTTTTTGTTTTGTTCTGGGGCTAGGTATCGGTAACGGTATCTCGATATCGATAACGGGGGACTTAACCCCTCCGTATCTCTGCATCTGTTCTTTAGGGCTTAAATGCACACAAAGCATAATATTGCATGTCAATTGGTTTAAGGGGTTTATTTATAAACATTTAGTTGGTTTTTTTTAGATTTTAACAAATTTATCTCTGCAGATTCTCCGCAAATCGCCGGCGGATCTCCAAATATCGATTAGAGACCCATTTCCGGTTCCTGGCGTAATTATCAAGCGCAGATCGGTCGATTTCGTTATGTTTTCAATTTTGTTTTTGGTGTATTGTATAGCTCCATTTATATAATCAAATTTTTCCATATAATATATGTGTGTATATATATAAACAATTATATTCCTCGTGTCGCTTCACTTTTTCTCTTGTGGTTTTTTTTTTCTGTTTATATATATATTTCGTTCTTCTGCGCTAAGCTGCGTTTTACACACACAAGTTTTGCAAATTAATTTCTGTTCTTTTTGGTTTTTGGTTGTTGTTGTTGTGGTTTTATTGGGTTTTACTCTTCACGGCTTATTTGGTAACTACGCTAAGGTTTTTCATTGTTTTGTTTTCCTCTTTTACTTTTTTATTTACTTCGTTTTATAATTTCTCTAAACTTCTTATATACTTTGTCTCGTCATGCGTTGTGTATCGGTGTGTGTGTGTGTGGTGTGAGAGAGTGTGTGTCTGTGCGAGTGTGAGTGTGTGTGAATGCATTAAGCTTTTCTTTTGGGATCTTGTTGTTGTTATTGCTTGAAAAAGCCTCTGCTTAAATAATCGTTTCATCCAGTTCGTTACGTTAATAATTTTACTAAAAACATTGTTGTTGTTTTTGTTGTTGTTACTGTTTTGCTTAGTTACTGGTTGTTCTTGTCTGGTTGTGATTGGTGTTTCTTCGAAATTGTTCGTTTTTGTTTTGTTTTGTTTTCATTTATACTTTATTTAAATCTTATTTTTAGGTTTAATTTATAATTTAAATTTACTTAACGTTTAAAATAATTATCGCTTGCATTTTTGTTTCTCCTCGTTTACTTTAAATAATTAAATTAAAAAAATAAAATATATTGTAATATGTTCTTGCTGTAGCTATCTGTAGCCGTAGCTGTTGTTGTTGCCGTTGCTGCTGCTGCTGCTTTTGCTGTTGCTATTACTGTGGTTGTGTGGATTTTGTGGTTCATAAACATTACTATTTGTTGCTCTCCATGGTTTGTAGGTGTTGTTTGTGGGCTGTGTGGGCGTGTGTGTGGCTCTGTGTGTGTGTGTGTTGGGGAGTGTAGCAGTGTGGGTGTTTAATAGTATGTCTCCTGCTCCAACCATCCACCGGGGTTGCGGCGCAAGTAGAAGCGACGGGTCTCGTCATAGATGAAGATGGCCAGCGCAAATGGAATAGCCGGGAACCACCAGACGAGTCTAGAATATTATATGGGATACATTAGCTATTTATTCAAGGTAATATTCTTCGTAGGATCACTTACTTCAGGGGGTACATGCGCAGACCCTTCTCCATGCCCGGGCAGTACGAGAGGAACGCGGCCAGCACGGTTTCAAAGACAAGGCCGAAGTTCAAAGCCCAGTTGCGCATGCCCTGCTGGAAGATGGAGTTACGGCGCGTCTTACAGATGATCAGATCGGCCCATTGCACAACCACAATCGAGATGAAGAAGGCCGTGTGGCAGGTGTACTCCAAGGTCTTGCGGTCGCGGTAGGTCTGTTCGAGTATACGAAATCCAATTAGTGGTTTTACACAATAGCAGTCATTTGGAAAATCTAGAACTTCATATGAATCGGTTGTCTTTTAACATTTCAAAAAGATGTTACAATAAAAAAAACAACTAAAACTCATTTCAAAATGCCAAATAAGTGTTTAAAGTTATTATGTTGATCAAATACTTTTATATGAACAAGTATTCTTATTAAAATACAAGTACTTTAAATGATAGGTATTATGAACTTTATGAACTAAAGGTATCAGTAGCTAGTACGGCTGATCAGCTTACACTTCTTTTTAAACTAAATGGAAACAATTCTTGGTTAGAATATCAACTTACCCATTCTTGTCCGTAGGAGTCAGTTAGATCGTTGACAGCCTTCGAGTCCCACATCTTACGGATGCCGAAGAGTTTCTTGGGCAAGAAGCCGTTCTCAGCCATGATGACAAAGTACACAAAGAAGCCAGCGGCGGCCTGGATCATACCGATCTGTCCGTAGGCCATGGAAATCAACCTGGATTAGTTTAGGGGACGGGTTTTGGGTGGCGGAAGTGGGGAGAAAGAAGCAAACCTCGTTAGACAACTCTCAAAGGCGGGCTGCAGTTTTCATTTGTGTTTGGGGTTTGGTTTGTTTTTCAGGACGCAAGACACTTCTCGTTACGGTTGGCTAGTGGTAAAGTTTCGGGCATCGGACAAAAACGGTTGCATGCGCGGTTTTGGCCAAGGTTTTTTTTTTTTTTTTTTTCGTCAAACGTTGAAGGCGGTAAATTCGGGATAGAAAGCAACGAGTGCTTCAAACTAAGCGGTAAAGATTTACAGGAAAGGGAAAGTAGAAGGGAAGAACACGTATAACAAACACAAAACACTCAGGGAGGAACAAAAACCCTGCCCAAGGACCGCATCTGTCCGTTGAGTCCTCGATCCGAGTACCAATCCGTACTCGGTGTTAGTTGGTTAGATTTGAGTTAGTGCCACTTTACCTTGAAGCTCTTTTATGGATTGTTTAAGCAAATGAATGTTTATCGTTTAGATTTAATGGTGTTAGACTTTACTCTAAATAGCGTGGAAAGTGTCTGAATCTCAGTTAATTTCCTGTTTTGTTTTTTGTCTTTTTTTTTTTTTTTGGTTCAATCTTAAGAGCGCGTAAAAGCAAATCGTACTATTATTTATACTGGACAAAAAGCGTGAGGGCGCAGAATCGTTCTGAATTTCATAGTATTGTTTGGCTTTCTTACATTTTGCATTGGATGTGGATGTGAAAAGCAAAGTTATTGTTAATGCTAGTCGAACATGCGGCTAAGTACAGGACATACATACATTAATACTAAACATGCAATACAACAAAGCGTGCCATTAAAACTACGGTAAGCGAATGCAGCTCTACAACCTTTTCGTTTACTTACGTTCAAGGAACTTTCGATTTAAATCAACATAAAACATAAACGCAATGATAAACTTACACTTAAACACAAACTTAATAGAGATAAACACGTAAGAGTTTTGCACACAAAAAAATTATAACAAATCTCCGTTGCCATCGTAAAGTTAAGTGAGTTTTACCTATTTTCAGGACAACCTCCCTCACATTCAGACTTACCGCGACTTGGCACTTGGAACCAGATATCAGATATCAGATTTCGGAACGGGTCTAAGTATATATTTCGTATATAACGATCATATGTGGTGTATCTAGAACACAACTGAAGCGATTTTCGTTTTGTTTTTTGTCTTTGGCTCGAACAAACTCAACTACAAGTAACGCACTAACTGGTCTAAGAGTAACGGCAGAAGCTTCGTTTTCGTGGAGTAATTGTTTAAATGTTGATCAGTCTTTTGCTTGTCTTTGAGCTCGTGAACAAAAAAGTTCACTCAACATTGCTCAGTTGTTTGATTGTTTGTTGTGGGGGCTGTGTGTTTTCTGTGTGTTCTAGTTTGTTGTTGTTGTTGTTGTTTATGCGGGTGAGCGTTGGAGCGAGCGAGCGTTTTTCTTTGAACTAACTTTGCCAAATTCTCTAGAAGCAGCTGTTGGGCGTTTAATCTTGGTGACACTACGGTTTGCAAAACAGACACTTTTAGATTGAATACGATTTCGGTTCCTGAATACTTTCAACACACAAATTAAATCTGTGTAAGGTTCGAAGTTTGTTGTGCGAGTAACACACCACAAATGTAACACTTAGATTTAGGGATTTAAGTGAGGGATACATAGAGGGGTTATTTTATATCAAATCAAATTTAATAAAGGTATTCAGAATTTCGAAATATAACTTTTTAAGAGGGTAATTTTAAAGGTGTTTTTTTTTTCAAATACGAAAGATTATTTTCATTCCACATTGAGAGTTTTAAGAACGGAAACGGAAATCATAAGGAGAAACAGAGGTTAGAGGTCACATAGAAACAGGAACGAAAGAAAACTATGTGAAACACAAAACCGTTTAAAGAGTAATTTTTGGATGTTCAAGAGTGTGGATCGAAATTCAAACAAAGAAAAACGCAGGAACGCATCAGCAAACGAACAAACAGTCGCAAAAGTTTCTGGGTGAAATTTGGAATTTAGCATTCGGTTGATTGAATGTCAAAGACTGATTGAGGATCGGTTGATCTCTTGCTAAGATTGTTGGCCAAATTACGATGCAAGAAACGCGACCACAACACATCAAACAAAGTTCAAAGTCGGTAAAGTAAGAGAGATGGTTGCATGTTTGTTCATTTTCTAGTTCTTAACTAATCAACTAAAAGACGGTTAACACTTGGATATTGGAGTTTGATTTTTTGTTTTTCTTTTTTTTTTTTTTTGGTTTGTTTTGTTTTTATATAACCTTAGCGTTAAGTTTGTCCTGACCTGCGGTTCACCAAGTTGTCGCGATACGGATCTCTCGGCTGACGCTTCATAATATCGCTCTCGGCTTGCTCGTAAGCGAGTGAAATGGCCGGAATCTTGCGGTATATGGCAATTAATGGTTATTGATTGTTCAGTTATCGGTATTGTGCAAGTTGCAATTGTTAGTTGGTTGTTTGATAATCAAAAGAAAGACATAACAAGAGTTGAAAGAATGTAGGGAAATACAAAGGAAAATCTGATTAAAGTTTACAAATATATGTAGTAATATTTGTATTAAAGATTCATATAAGTATGCTTGCGGGCGAGTAATAAATACTTGTTCTTTATACGCTAAGTAATAATCACTAATAGATCGTAATAGATAGACAGAGTTCTGGGGTAAGGGCGGTAGTTCGATAGTTCGGGAGGCAGTGTCAAGAAGTACCATCGAGGCGAGGAGTTTATCTGTTGTGGCATGTTGAAGGCATATTTGTAATTGTATCTCTGTGTTCGTTTCGTTTTGTTAGCTCCCGCGTACTTACGAAGCTAAAACTAATCTAGGGTAGAAAGAGCATAGAGCGCCCAGTAACAGTAAATCGAGATATATAGTAAACAGTAGGTTGTGGGTAGTTAGATGCGCAGTTGTAGGGAGTAGTATAGAATGACTTAGAGCTTAAATTGCGCTATGTCGTTATAAATGTATTATTATTACTAGGGGCAATTTTAGCCTGGGTTCTGATTCTGATTGATGTCGATTGGGTTTGAAGGAGGTTCGTGTGAGTGTCGGTCAACTACAACTCAAAAGAAGACGTTTCAATGAATGACTGATTGAGATACTGTAGAGAAAGACATAGGGCAAACTCTTGACTGACTGATTGACTGATTGAATGTGCTAAATGATTCGAATTGACTCCAAGCTGGAAGAGAGTCGTGAATGAAGTGATGTCGAGATCGAAGGATTTACTACCGATAACAATAGTGTAGCATATGAAGAAACGTACATATTTCGATACAATATACAGACTCACTAGGTTAACAATAGGCCTGATCTAGCATAGAGTTAAGTACTAAGATGAAAGAGATCTGTATTGTGATCATAACAATCTATCATTAGTCCCACGAAAAAATGGCTCAGAGGTATGGAGAAAGTTCTCTGAGCTGTGCCCTCAGCTTTAAGAAAACAACACTTACCTTCGCACCGCAAAAAACAAGGTCTTCAAATAATACAAAAAACAAATATCTGTAGAACTACTACAGTCCAAAATCAATAAACCAGGTTAATAAGGGAGACAAATAAGAGTTAAAATAATTCAGAGGTCACACGAAAGGTTTCAGGCCCCAAAGTTGTATAATAAAGCACCTTAAGAATCATTGTAGATAAAGAGAAAAGGTGAAAGAGAGCGAGAGTTTACCAAAATTAAGCAGAAAGTGAAAGGCAACTGACTTTATGGCTAACTGGGAAGAGTCAAATGTACTCCTAATCGAGTGTACAATTTCGAACTTTTTCAAGTGCAAGAATTTCCGAGGCGTTGGCCGAATGGCATCCGAAAAATTTGTTATTCTTTGTGTCTTCATTATACAGAACTTATAAGAAGTTTGAAAAAATCTATCGAGATTATAAAGTTAGTATGTAGCTAAACATATGTAGTTATGATTACGAATACATTAATCAGCGTATAATAATTGGGATATATTGCATATTGCAAAAACAAATGAAAAATCTTTCAAAATTGCATACATAAATGGAAAATTCAAAAGTATATAGTCTTTAAGATATGTATAAAGTTCTTTCTAAAAAAAATATACTGTTAACCATTGGACCTTCGAGTCCAGATTTAAGTGTGCTTAGGAAGTAGCTTATAAGAAATGCTGGCGAATTCTCTAAGAACACGACCTGATTCGAGTATAATGTTATAGTTATGTAAATCAATATGACTAATTGCTTGAACTTTACTTGATACTATCTCAACGGAAACGTCAGAGTCTAAAAGAATCTGAAGAAAAGTCAAGTAAATGAGGAAACATTGAACAGAAATCGAACTAAAAGCTACCAACTCAAACATGTAACATAAAACATGTAAAACATCTGTGGAGTTAATCCAAATAATCAACATTCAACCAAGGAGTACTTAAGCTATTTAAAAATATTTGAGTTAGTATATAGAAAGACAGAGATATAGCGGATAATATAGAGATAAATAGAGTAAAATGATTTCAATTATCTTCGACTGCTAGAGAGAGAAAGAAAGCGTTCTTTGATTTAGACTTGCTTTAAGACTTTGGCCGTCCAAAGTACGAACTCAATTCAATGGTATTTAATTTGCTTTTCATTGCGTGACAAAAAAGAGTTGTTTGGTGGTTCAAAGAGTTGCAGAAGATGCAAAATCTTGATTGCGCTCGGATATGTGTCTTTACTTTGATTCGAAATTCGGATCTTGCTATTTGGTTGTTTGGTTGATTGATTGATAGTTGTTGGTTGGTTGATTGTTCTGGTTGTTGTTGTAATTGATTGTAGATCAGCAGAGAGCGAAACTTTACCTTTCGTTGACCAGTTTGTCTTGGAAGGGATTCCTCGGCTGGCGTTTCATAATATCGGATTCAGCCGTCTCATAAGCTAAGGAAATGGCTGGCACCTAAACGTGCGAACGATCGTTTGTTGTGGGTTGGTTGGTTTGTCGGTTGGTAGTTGGTTTGGTTGAGTGGAAAAAATAAATGAAATTAAATACGATAAATTACGGAAACGTAAACTCATTTGTCTGCCTCAGTTGGTTTTCACACACAGAAAAAACCCTGAACAATCCGCTGAGCTGAGCTGAGCTGAGGGAACGACCGTCGATTGGATTCGATTCATTAAAGTACAACTTACGGGCTAAATTGCATAACTTAAAACCCCCCTCTTAAAGCGAACTTAAGCTGCTGCAAAGACTCATTGGACAATGCTTGAGGTGTGGAGTGACGAACAGAGTTAAACATAAGATAATGAATAAATTTCAAATTTCAGTTCAAATCATGAAATAAAATCATATTTTTTAGGTTGGGTTAGTGGCTACGAGTCGTGTGCAATTGGTAATTTTGATGTTGAAATTTTGCCAAATCTTACAAACTTAAAATCCAATACAAATGCCAATCAATTTGTCTAATTCAAAAACGTCGAGGGTGAATCTTACGGTTAACTCAGTGTTAGTTACACCACAAAACGAAAATCGTGAGCGATGTGATATTCTGAGTTCATATTTTGTGAGAGATCAACGAAATACGACGCACACCAATTAACATTTAGAGCATTTAGAGAATGGCGGATGAAGTCGGTATTCGTTTGGTCCGGATATTCAGAGTCTTGAATGATTGAATTGTACATGTGGTAACAGTTATATGCGTATGTATACATTTTATATATAACTTCTGGGAGGAACTCAAGAACGGCGGATGCTGGATGGTTGGAGTTGTACTCGGAATGTACAGAGCGGATGTTAGATATGTATAGATGGTTAATGCATGACTAAGGGGCGATCTGCCACCGGATGGACGTATGCTACAGAGAGATGAGAGATCGGGAAGGAAAGCTGGTGGAGTGATGACATTCTTAAGAGTAAGTCGGGTATTAGTAAACCATAAACGTGTCAACGGCTTTGTTAGATGTTTTCGTTTAGGCCAACTTAATCTAGTACAATCCAGCCACATACACATAAGACATATGCTATAGTTATATGGTTTTCTCTTGATTTGCGCTTCTTTACTTCAGACTTGTTCTTTTCTTTTCATTTTAGTGGTTGAGATTAGTGGGTTGGTAAGTGTGTGTGGTGTGGAGTGTGTGTGTGTGGCGTGTGTATTAGTGTGGGGTAGAAATTGACTTGATTGGCACCTTGAGTTCACTAATTTATCGTTGAAGGGGTCACGTGGCGGACGCTTCATAATATCGGCTTCGGCGTGTTCGTAGGCCAATGAAATGGCTGGCACCTAGGTATTGGATTACGGCAGGTAGTTACATTAGCAACGGTTTACACAATTTCACAAAGTCCATTAATTCAATTCAAATCGGTTTCACAAATCGGTTCGCTATCTGTGATCTAGATCTGAGCTGTGGGTATCTAAAGGTCGGGACATGAGATAGAGAGCACTTAAACTACTAAACGATAGATAGCCTAGCACTGGCAACTGGACTGCAACGGGAGGCTAGGATCTGGAGGCGGTTACCTCTCGTTGACCAGGTTGTCGATCTCCGGATTGCGCGGCCGGCGCTTCATGATGTCCGCTTCGGGTCCCTCGTAGGCCAGCGATATGGCGGGAATCTGGTGGTCGCCAGTGCAGTCAGCCGCACAGTTTTACGTTCACAGAGTTCAACACAGTGTGTTAAAGAGGCTAGTTCTTAACAATTAACTGGGAGATCGGGCTACGACTTTACATTTAACTTGCTCGAATCGAACTGACTTAACATTACTCTTCAATACGGGGATGAGGGTGCGGGCTTGGGGCTCAGAACTCACCATGTCAGTGCCCAAATCGATGCACAGAATCGTCACGGTTCCCAGTGGCAGTGGTATGTCGCAGAGGATGAAGGCCAGGAAGGGCGAGATTTCGGGAATGTTGGAGGTCAGGGTGTAGGCAATGGACTTCTTCAGGTTATCGAAGATCAGGCGACCCTCCTCCACACCGGTCACAATCGAGGCGAAGTTGTCGTCCAGCAGAATCATGTCAGCAGCCTGCACGTAACCACAAAGTTCATTTAGCATTTTTTGTCAAGACACAATAGAATCAGGTCCGTATTGCTCCATCTCTCACTTACAACAACGCAGTCATAAACCAAAAACATGAGTTGATGTAGAAAGGAAGATAAGACTGTATAGTATGTTCCCACACTTAAAAACCTTAAACGCGTTAAACAAAGTCCCGCTTCGGTTATAAGAAACATAGTATGTGTACAGCCCAAGAACACTTGGTAAAAAATCAAATTAAATGTTTATATGACATCGTTAATTTGTGGATACGAAAAATATCACGCCCATCTGTTAAATTAATTTGCTCAGACTTTTAAATGCCATTCTAGTGCGCAAAAGGCTTCCTAATTGATGACCAATTTCGGTGATATTTTTAATCCGTGTTAATTGCGATTACTGCAGACTGATGATCTCTCACCTGTTTGGACACATCGGAACCGGCGATACCCATGGCAACGCCGATGTCGGCCTTCTTCAGAGCCGGGGAGTCGTTGACACCATCGCCAGTCACGGCCACAATGGCACCCATGCGCTGGCAGCCCTCGACGATGATCAGCTTCTGCTGCGGGGAGGTACGGGCGAAGACGATCTCGGTGTGGTAGCGCAGGATCTCGTCCAGCTGATCGCTGGAGACGTCGCGCAGCTCGGCGCCGTGGACGACGGCGGCCTTGGCCTCGCGGGGATTAACCTCCGAGATGGGGATGTTCAGGCGCTGGGCAATGTCCTCGACGGTCTCGTTGCCCTCGGAGATGATGCCGACGGACTTGGCGATGGCCTTGGCAGTGATCGGGTGATCGCCGGTAACCATGATGACCTTGATGCCGGCCGAACGGCACTTGGCCACGGCATCGGGCACAGCGGCACGCGGGGGATCAATCATGGACATGAGGCCGACGAAGCGCAGGTTGTCGATGGGGAAGTTGATGTCGTCGGTGTTGAACTTGAAGCCGGAGGGATACTTGTCGGAGGGCAGCATAAAGTCACAGAAGCCGAGCACACGCTCACCCAGTCCACCGAGTTCCATGTAGGCGTTGTTGAACGCCTCCTTCATCTCCTCATCCAGCACCTTCTCCTTGCCGTTGATGAAGATGGTCGAGCAGCGTTCCAGAATGCGCTCGGGTGCGCCCTTCATGACGAGTAGGAAGCGCGGATCGTTGGTGTCCTCGGTCTCGTGGATGGACACCTGGTACTTGTTGGTGGAGTTGAACGGCACCTCGGCGATCTTCTTGTTGCGCTTGCGAATGTTCATCACGTCGCCCAGGGCCAGTTCCATGCACTTGAGCAGAGCGGCCTCGGAGGCATCGCCGCTAACCTCCTTCTTGAGGATGGGGACGCCGTCTTGGCCTCCCTTGAACTCGGCACGGTTACAGAGAGTGGCAATGCGAGAGAGCGCCTTGAATCCAGGGCTGGTTCTATCGTATTGAACACCCGACTGATCCTCGGTGGTGTCGGCCTCGATGATCTGATTGTCGAACCACATGTGAGCGACCGTCATTCGGTTCTGGGTGAGGGTGCCGGTCTTGTCGGAGCAGATGGTCGATGTGGAGCCGAGGGTCTCCACGGCCTCCAGATTCTTGACCAGGCAGTTCTTGGAGGCCATACGCTTGGCGGTGAGGGTCAGGCACACGGTGACGGTGGCCAGCAGGCCCTCGGGCACGTTGGCGACGATGATGCCGATCAAGAAGATGACGGCGTCCAGCCAGTGGTAGCCCAGGATGAAGGCGATCACGAAGAAGGTGACGCCCAGGAACACGGCCACGCCGGTGATCAGGTGGATGAAATGGTGGATCTCCTTGGCGATGGGCGTCTCGCCGGTGTCCAGGCCGGAGGCGAGGCCAGCGATGCGGCCCATGACGGTGTGGTCGCCGCAGCTGATGACCACGCCCTTGGCAGTGCCCTCGACGGCATTGGTGGAGAAAAAGGCCAGATTCTTGGTCTCCAGCGGGTTCTCGTGGGTGAACTCTGCGCCGCGCGACTGCGGCTCGGACTCGCCGGTCAGCGAGGAGTTGTCCACCTTAAAGGTGCGTGCCTCGATGATGCGGATGTCAGCGGGGATACGGTCGCCGAACTTCACCTCAACGACATCGCCCAGGACGAGATCCTCAGCGCGCAGCGTGAGTTTCTCGCCCTCGCGGATGACGGTGGCGAACTGGGGTACCATGTTCTTGAACGATTCCATGATCTTAGAACTTTTCGATTCCTACAGGAGAGCATTACATTAGTAATTTATATTACAAGTTACAAGGGTAATGAAAACGCACCTGATAGTATGAGAAAATGCCCGTCACAATGACGACAGCGGAAAGTACAATACCCAGATACAAATTATCGTCGGCCGGCTCCTCGCTGGTGCTGGCCTGGATAGAATAGGCCACGAAGCAGAGAATAGCACCGATCCACAGCAACATGGCGAAGCCACCGAACAGGTTCTTACAGAACTTCACCCATTCGGGTGTCTGCTTGGGTGGCGTCAGCGCATTGGGACCATCGCGCTCCAAGTTCTCCTTGGCCTTGGCGTGACTTAGACCCTGCAGGAGATCGAGAAAATGATCGCTATACATATCAGTTGCAATTTAACCACATGGAAACTTACATTCTCGGGATGTGTCTGAAAGCGCTGATACAATTCCTCAGGAGAGATTTTATGAAAGTCGATATCCAACTCCTGTTTGAGATCATCTAAATTCTCCTTTTTATTAACTTTGGCCGGCATCTTGCGTCTTGACTGTTTCGATTTAAAGGGAAAACTTATTAGTTGAGGAAGTTAGTGGTTAAGTGCAGCGATAGACCCACAAGCCGACACAAAATTCGATTTACTTCATGCCTTTGAGCCAGAGTAGATTACTCAAAGTGTTTTGGTTTGGTTAAGGAGTGGAGGAATAAGTTTAATATAGGGGTTAGGACTCAATAGACTCGATAGAGTAGGTACCGTTTACCAATAGAGTTAGGGATAAGTTCACGTTAACCAGAACCCGTAGTTAAGACTTACCCATGATTATTCAATGCTATAACCTGTCAGAAGTTTTTATTGCCCTGTGCACAGGGATGTTATCGACTGGGGGCGAACCCATTCCGAAATGAGTTCGAGCGTGAGAATATTCAAAATGACCGCTCCGTACATAAAGCTCTAGTAATCTAAGGCATGCCAAATGCTAAATGACGCTCTCGATCGAAATGCGAAGAGCACGTAAATGAATTGAGGTGCACAAAACAAAACGACAGGCAATTACACAAACATTCGCTTCGAACGCTACGTACTATATATTACGTATTCAAAACAAAAGAAATTAAAAAGGAAACAGCAAAAAAAAAAGCGACAAAAAATGAATGAAAACTAACTTTTCCTATGTTGCAGCTAAAAATATGTATTTACTATGCGATAGCTGACCTCGGAAGCCTTGGAATTAGCCAAAAAATAGTCGAAATAAAATTAAATGGATTCAAATATTATATTATATATAGTCTTAGCAGCTGTCTAGTGTCTGGCATTCTATCTTTAACAGTGTCTATAAGTGTATTTCTTCTTTTTTCGAGCGGCACGCTCAATGCTTTTTGGCGCTCTGACGTCATTGTTGGGGTTGCCATGCAATGAAGGCGAAAAAAACAAACAAATGTAAGTACTAGCCATTTGAAAACTTTTTAAAGCCGGCTAAAGAACTGTTTTCTATCAATAATAATTTATTCCAGATATTTCTTTAGAGCAAAATCTATACTTGAGTGCCCTTCAAATGGGGGATGGAAAATCTTTCGTTTGATTTAGAAATTGCCATATTTATGACATTATTATTGGCCATCGTTATACATAGCGAAAGATTGCTATTTTTAGCTGCTGTAAACAATTCGCCAAATCTTGCTAAATGTCAACCGCACTTGGTAAATGCCATTGGAAGCATGCCCAAAATGTAGCAAATATAATAAATAATAAGTGCTTTTATAGACCGGGAAAGGGAAATCGATGGGAACGGAATGGGTTAGTAAAGCGCAAAAAATCGAAAGGAAAGCGGCGAGTGTGGAAAGTGAAAAACATAAATAAGGTGTATGGATGGGAGATACATGTGAGTTTGTGAGTGTGAGTGTGAGTGAGGAAAATTCGATTTACCTTGTACTGGCCATCGGCTGTGCGATTGTCGTCATCGGTGGCTATAACCGTGGCGACTCGATAAGAGTCCGCTCTCCCATGCTGCGCGCATGAAGGTTTGGTTTGGTTTTCGGTTTGGTGGGTTGGTGGGTCGATTGGTTGGTTGTTGGGTGGTGTTTGATTGATGATGTCGATGATGGGCGAACAAAACAACAACGAGTTGAACGGGGAAGAGATCAAAATCAAAAATCGAACAAAACGAAAAAACGAGCATAAACAAATGCAAGACGTACACTATGTATATGACTATGACTATAACATAAAGAAACAAGTTCTGTACTAGCTCCGATAAAGTGGTAAATGAATCAGAACCCAAATAAAGATTTTCTAAATCATTTAAAATTTCTAAAAGTATTTCCGTACTTATTTCGGTTAAAAATAAAATCTCGAATAAATTTTTTATGACAAGCAATAATTTTATTTCTCACTTTATCGCGTCTAGCACACATTTCAACAACATATAAATAATATATAATATATAAAATAACTAATGCATGATGTGATATATTTATGAATAAGAAATACTTAGCACTGATGGGAAAAATAATCTTTTTTCGATACATACAGTAATTATGAACTACATTTATAGGCAATTCAAGACATCGCCAATTCCGTTGGCCTGGCAACACGCGATTGTTTTGATGATTCAGCGCAAATGGGGAAACGGAAAACTTTTGCCAGTCCACCAAAGGACAATGAATCATGTGTTATACATAGACTTCCAATAGAAAGGCTTTCCAGCAAGCGGTAGCCAAAATTCGAAACCATAGCGAATCTGGAAGCGTTATCTACAGTGCGTCGTGACTCATTATTTGTGCGCTCCATTATTATTTAAAAAACAAACAATATTGGCGAGCGAAGAGCGCACTTGTCAGCGAAATACAACTCAAAAGATATGCAATATAAACACACAAGTCTACGGATTGTTTGGCCATGCAAACTGAGGGGTCGAACGTAAGGAATCAAATCAAATTAATTAAAAATACGAATGTCTCGAGAGAAATGTAGGTATATATACACTAATAAATGCGAGGGCGAGGGGAATCGCGAGAACGCAAACCTGTCGCGTTCACATGGCAGCCAAGTTGCGAGTACATTCGGCTATATTCGAAAATCGTACGCTTTGTTTGGCTTTGCTTTTTCGGCCTGGCGTGTCTTGATTTATTTTATATTTTTTTCAGTTTATGTGCTCTGGCTGGCTGTCGGGTTCTTGGCTCAATTGAGGACGCGACGCCAGCATGAAATAAATCGAATTGGGAGTATCGTGTCTGCCGGGAAATGGCACTAAAAAGGTTTCTCTACTTTTTGGCTTACGCACTGTGGCAAGTGTTCAGAACAACTATCGATCTGCCTGCGCGGCGGCTTTCGTATCTTTTATCTCTGCGTCGCTGGTTTCCCTCTCACTCTCTCTCGCTCTCGCTCTCTAAGATTCCCTCTCAAGTGCTAGACAACCTGATAAGCGGTTAAGAGTTAAGGTAAAGGTATAAAAATGGGTTAGATTAAGTTAACTTAAGCTTACATCTATGGAGACCTGCCTGCCTAGGAAGTGCAAAACAATCGTTAGCCGTGACTTTGGTGGGCGGAAAGCGCCCGCTTTCCCACAATGGCGCTAATTCCGATTTTCCTATACAAATTAATTCAACTTAATCGCGCTTTTCATGCTTCAATTGATCCGAAACAATGCCAAGTGGCACAGCATGTGGGGAAACAAGGGTCTGGGTTTGGGGTCCAGGATGGAGATCGAGGCGATATAAACTCGTGTGTATATATAAATCAAAATGCGACAAAGGCCGGTTGGTTAGCCAGCCAGCCAGCCAGCCAGCCAGCCACAGAAAAGCTTACATAAGCCAGCGAAATGGAAAACGGCAAACTGAGAACTGCCAGCGAGCCAATTAGGCGAACAGATACAAATGTATCTGTGGCTGCGCTCCAGCTGCTTTTCGCTGAACAGAACGGTTTGCGCACATTTCGCCGCAAACCATTTGGCATTTGAACTTGAATATCAATTTACAACGAGTCGAGGGCGGCGGTGCGGGGGATGGGGGGCACCGAATTGACGCGCTAATTGTTCAATCAATGCAAAAGTATCTGGGAAACGTGTAAATCAGCGGGCGTAGCCAAAAAACGAGTGAATTAAGCCGCACAAATTGTCGCCACATCGCTTTCGCTCGAAGGTGCATTCGCCGGCAGGTGAGTGCAAGTTCGGTTCGAACCAGTTTCAAACCAGATTCAAGTGGCTCAGGCACTCAGGTGGTTGAAATTAATAGAACACAATGCATTCGACTCGGAAATCGAAACTGTTTCCCTAGGCTCGTTTTTCCCGAGGCACCCGAAATCGGAAAAAATTCCACTTAATAAACCAGTTTGGGGGCATGATAACAAATCGTGTCTGGAATCTCTCATCTGAGAAATGCATTTTCAATCGACTTGTTTTCTCCAAACCCCACAGACATCGATAAGCTCGATAAAACCAGATGAGCTCCTAACCCGCTAATGATCTCAGTTCCCGGAGCGTTCAATTTAAACATTATTAACAATCCCCCGCTAATTATCTGCTTAATTTTCGCACGTTTTGCATGCCACATTTGGAATGGAAGAACTCAAGCCCCTGTTTTTGTTTCCAGACCTTATGGCTCACTTTCTTATCAGAGCCCCTCTTCACAACAGACACAAGAGCAAGTTATGTAACCCCGATACGAGATTACAGGAACCTAAGGTAAAAAATAACTTAAATTAATCATGCTCGCAGCGGTCAAGGTAAATTATAAATGATTGCGGTAAATACGTAAATGGGGTGAAATGTCTCTGAGCTCGTCAACTTTGATTACCCACCTGAGCACTCATAATGCCTGCGGATTCTTGTTTAAACTTATTAGAGGCGAGACAGTTAAACGATCAACAAACAGAAATGCAAACGACGACGGGCGAATGCAAATAAAACACGAAAAACAAATAAACGGCAAAATAAAATAAAACAACTGAAAATAGAAAAAGTTAATAAAGGGCAAGATTAAAGACAGGCGAAAACGGTTAAATCGAGTCGGACTTATGCAACAATCCACAGGATACGCGGGCGCTGGAAGGACATTAGGCGGTGGAGCAGCAAGTGGACCGCTGGAAGGCCACGGAGTCATGGGAAAGTGGAAATTGACAAAGTGGAAGTGTGGAAATGCAGGCGGGCTGCAGTTTCCAGGATGCCGAATAACAGCACATGGCAAAAAGTCAAAGGGAGAGCGAGTGGGAGCAAAGGCGAATTCCGAAAGTGAGCGAGCTTCACGGTAAACAGCGCAGTGAGAGAGAGAAAAGCCGTTAGGGGCGCAAGTTCGAAGAGCGGCAGGAAAACTGCTCGAAATTTTCCAAGACTTTTTCCTGCCCCTCTTTTTATGCTTTGCGTGTGTGTCTGTGTGTGGAATTATGAAATCGCTAGCGGGGGGGCCAAAGCTATATAGCTATATCCACTCATTCGTGTGGGGTGGCCAGGAAATTACTGCTATTCCAAAATGTAAATCGCGTCAATTGAATCTAAACGATTTCATTGCCACAAAAAGTACGTCAGACTAAAGCAAAGCGGAGGAAACGGACGGACAAACAGACGGGCGGACAGCAAAAAGACAGACGGACATGCGTTTGGCTTGCCATGAACGCCAAATTGAATGCCAAATCAAAAAGGAGGAAAAACACTAATTCTGCAGACGAAGATCCCAGCTCTCTCTCTCTCTCTCTAGCGCACACACCACAAATCACTCTCTAGATCACTCGCACATTGGCAAAATATTTGTCACATCCGTTTGAAAAATGCATTTATCGCATTTTCAGCCGTGAAAATGCCCAACACACTATGTTCTTTTCGATCTCTGCTCTCCTCAGATGGTTACAAATGTATATATCCATTACGGCAGGCATGAAGTTTTGGAAAAATCGATTCCGTACAAGGACGTTGTCGTTTTCTCGACGCCCCTAAGTGGGGTGGTGGGCGGTCGGTTGTTGGGTCGGTGGGCGCTGCAGTTGAGCAGACATGGAAAGTTCTTGGTTTCTTTTTGTTCATTTTTCTTTTTTCGCATTTTTTTCTACCTTTTACACGTTTGGGTGCTATTACACAATTTTTGCGCTTGGCGTTGCGAATTCTGTTTTGGGGGCTTTCGCAGAAAAACTACCCCGTTAGCAGTATTGAACTTGTTTTCAGCACTAGAACCGATTCGCGTTGGAACGAGACAACAAATACTGATCACACACGTTTGCCTTCAATACGTAATCCTTTTTTCGAACGAGAGTTAGTCCTGCTGCTTCCTCTTCTCGCTGGACTCAATCGATGCACAGTTATTGTGTAAGCAGAGCAGCGGAGCACACACCAGCGCCGAGGGGGCGGGCGGGCGGCGGGGGGAGCAGAGCTGTACTGTACCACCCGACAAAGAGACGAGAGACGAGATAGCTGCTGCTACAGTGGACCTTCCCAGTTCAAAATCGACGCTCGACTGAAACTTACTGAAACTTTTCGGCGCGCCGCGAGTGGCCGAGCTTTCTCGATTCTCGGCTAGAACGTTCTGCCGACGTCGGCGCTGGGGGTCGCGACGCCGAGCGGCGAGAGCTTTCGCCAGCGCCAGCAGATGTTACACTGGGCCGCAGTGCTCCTCTCCTACACTCGGAGAAAGTACTGATGAAGTCGCCAAAACTTTCTGCTTGTGTTAATGGAAGCATATATTTTTCAATAAGAACTTTAAGGCCAATACAAGAATCCAACAGTGTTGTTTTTGCCTAACCTTCAATTATAAATATAGTGGTCTTTAAAATAAAATTATTACCCAAGTATTATTTTATAACAACTATTCCCACTTATTAAATTTTCCTGATTTTAACAAAACTCACTGACAAGCAATAAAATGTTTTTTGAGATGATTTTTAGTTATATCATTATGATATACGTTTCGTTAAGTTGCTAAAATGTATGCCCCACATTTTTACGAGTGTAGCCTCTCGTGCGAAAAGTGCACAGTGGCGGAGAGCTTTCCAGCCGAAAAATCTATGGCAGTGTGACAAGTGAGGCAGGCAATGGGCGAGAAGAGCGGAGAGCGAGCACTTCGAAACTGGAGCAGTGGGAAAGGGGGTGGCGGAAAGGGGGGACGCTGCCTAGGGGTTGGCTGCGCAGCTCGGAGCAGCGGAATGTGTGTCAGTTGGAGAGAGGGCGGTGGACATGGGGAGGCATGGACACACAAAAGAGGGGTGGCAAGAGATAGTGAGGCAGCCTGACGGAGAGCCAGAGAGACAGACAGAGAGCGAAAATCTACATAAATTGTATAACGAAAACAAAGCGTTTGATAAAAAGGGCAGGCCAACAACTTTGGCATTTCGGAACAGCCGTCTTATCGAGCCCTTGCATGACGTCACTTCAGCAGAACCCAACCCCCCAAAAGTGATGACAATTACTCAGGCAAGTCAGATGAAAAACCCCCCGAGGCTAAATAGCTAACCACCAAATGTCAATGCGGCAAAATCATGTCCTAATATTAAATAACCCATATTCCATCTGCTTACTTAAATCCTCTATATTGAAAATCCTTGCAAGGATACACAGTCTATGCGCGACTCCAAGCTTTGCCTTTGCTATTCTTACTTAACTTTATAGGCAAAGTGGCAGAGTTTGGGGGTGAAATGAATACACGACGGGCTTAAGGACTCAAGCAATTTCCTTTTCGGACCTTGAGTCTATTTCGGGTCCTTTGTAACTCGAGTTTAATTACACGTAATGTTGCCAACGCAGATACAACAAAAAACCACATGGATACGCACTTGGTCAGTAAGTAATACACGTGAAAAACAGATTTGACATTACGAAACTATGGAAAACTAAATATACACCCGGCGTTAACTTTTCATGACATGGAATCATACAAAGATATTCACGAATGTTTCTTATAAATTTTAAACAAGTATATAAAACTGACACGTGTTTTTCTCTTTGAAAAGTTAAATATTAACACGTCCAGTAGATAAGGCTTTATTTAAAACTGTAGAAAAGCTCCTAAGTCACAATTTTGATATTCATTATGTATTATGTAGGAATCGAATACCAAATCATTTTTATAACTATAAACTCCAAGAATCTCATATTAAACCGCAGATAGTAGACTTCTTAAGATTTAAAACAAAAACAAATGTTTAGCATCGCTGAAAACAAATAACAGCTTTAAAGGTTTGTTTTTTGACTAAGGAAACTCAAGCTCCTTTTTTCTGTCTGCACATAATCCAGCGGAAAATCAATATAAGACATGGTGCCAGCAAAGGCAGCGGGAAAAGTTTCAGTCTCCGCTTTTCCGGAGCGGAGGGGTGGCGGAATGACTCCCCTATCGATCCGTTGGGGCCATCCAGATTTCTGGCCGGAATCGTGCACGTTTTATCAACTTATCGAATCGCGTGTGATATCCGGTGAAGGAGTGTCCTGCCCAGATGAACTCCAACTCAATTTGTGGGTCATCAGCATGGTTACAGGACCACCGAGGAGGGGTCCAAAATAAATAAACAAATGCCGAGTTAAGTGACCGTGCTGGCCAGTTGTGTCCGCCAAAAGTTTTCCCACCCCCCAGTGGCCCAGTATTAGGTTATGTAATGACACGACACAAAACACTTGGCAACCGGAATGAAAGTCGAGATACATAGATATAAACTTTGGGCAGATATCGCCGGTGTGAGCCATAGAAATATATGTTTCCATGCGAATCGGCTCGTGAGCGTTTACTTATGTAAAATGAGAGCAACGTCACAGTTCGTCGATGAGTTCAGCTGACAAATGGTCAACTGACGAGGGTTCCGTGTTCAAGCCACTCAACCCACTCACCCAATCGGTCAGTTTGACGTGTCCAGACGGCGTCCTATATCGCAGTCATTGGATATCAAGGCGGCCATCGATCAGTCACCCTCAAAATGGCCCGGAACAACTCAATTTGGCGTTTCACCTGGCACGGCCACGCCCCCGCCACGTGTCTGCCTCCCCTTTTGGTAGACCAAATGCCAGCATTCTGAAAAATCAATATGCAAATTGTGACTGCGGTTAAGGGCTGGGGTGACGGAGGTTTCCCAAACAAAAAGGCTCTGTTCCTCTGCCAATTATGACTTTCAGGCAAAATCAATAAGCGGAGCAGCGCTGATGACTCTACCAATTTGCATGGTGTCAAAGTCAACTAGCCATTGCCGCAGCTGAGACCCCAATATACGTCCAAATCCCATTCGGAGAACTCGAGTTCCTCGAAAGCTCTAATTTAAACACAGATTGGTTTCTATAAATTTAACTTTTGAGTTCTTATCTCCACAGTCAAAAATAAAACTTATCGTCAGTCAAAAAATAAATTGTGGGGCTAGGACCCCAAAAATAAATGGAGAAGATTATATAACATTAAAAAACAGGCCAAGGTTTTTTTCTGACATTTTCAACTGACAAGTTACCTTCTATCTGAGCTTCCCCTACAATTATTATCCTTTCTATGAAGCTGTAAATCTGTTCCATACTTTTGCTGGTTAAAGTTCGGTTTTAAACTGTGACATTTAAAAGTTCGAGCCGGGGAAGTTCCACTTTAGTTCGGAGGAGTTGCATTCGCACTTTGCATTCGAAAAGCGGATGAGCGTGCAAGTTGGTTTGGCAGAGAGTAGCTAAAACTTTGGCCAGCTCGCTAATTGCCATTGGCAAGTGCAATCCCCCATTGCAGTGGGTGCGATGGGGGAGGAGGAGTAAGGAGAGGGAGGAAGAGTGGGCGGCGGACCTCGATTCGGTTGCATAATGGCGTTCATGACCTGGGCCCTGGCGAAACTGGCAAAACGGCGACAGAAATCAGAAATCAGAGACGGCGACAGAAAGACCGAGACCGAGTGCAGCATAATCACAGGCATCACGAGTGCCCCGATATGCGAGCGAATGAGCCATAAAGCCGACAGCGTTCTGTTGTACTTGAGCATTGATTAAAATGTGTGGCCCCCCGCCGCCCCCTCGCGACCCCCGCGGGGCCTTTCCTCGCCATGAATGGCGGGCCGACTACAATGGTCATGCGAGGAGGAGCTATCGCGATATTTGGCATACATTCCAAGGTGAAAGAAATGGTGGAAAATTAACTTGTTACGTTATGAGCTGACATTAACCCAAATTACTTGTATATCATTATATACCAACTAATTATCTTGATTACAAAGTAATTTAGAACTTATTATAGAATACTTTAATTAGGTTTAAAGCAATGCTTTTGATACCTCTAACCATCTTCGACATCTTCATTCTAATAGGGTATAACTTTTTGGTTTTATTATATACAACCATATCCCGTATAATAACCTATATGGTATTGTAACCAGATAGTTCTAGATATATCCCTCACTCCTATCACGATTTGGCATCGTGTAAACTCGATCCGAAGCCAAGTCGGAGTCCGGCTCTAGTTAGTCTATGATGCCATTCGAAGCAATTTGCTCGTCGCTCCTCGTAGGCGTTTATATGACAATAGATTTACGAGCATAGCTCGTCTAATTTACGCCATTCCCATTGTAAAGAAGCGACCATCCAATCCATCCAGCTCATATAGTAGCTCATGTAGTAGTTAAAAAGACGAGAAAAACCTTAGACGACGACAACGATGAAGGAAAGTCACTGGCATCTCGCGGCGGGCAGCATTGAATGAAATGCCCCGGAAAAAACCAATTGTTATTCCACGTTTAATTTAGTAGAGCAATGGAAAGCATAAGCCAGCTCGAAACTTGTGAATCCGATTTCACGGTTTGCGGGAACGGGAACGGAGGTCAGCAGCCGACTGGGCTGCATCGTTGTGGGCGGGCAGATCTTGGATTCATCCTATTCCATCTCATCTCGCCTAATGGCATCGCATCTCATGGATACGGGGATACAGACACAGACACAGAGACAGAGACATAGATACGGATGAGCGCTTGGCTTTGAGTTTCAGTTGGGTAATGCGAACCGCCGGAGACCGCCCGTCCGAAAATGGAGCAATAAATTCTAATCAAAATTAAAATATACATAATAATAAAGTAAGCAAAGCAGCCATCTAGTATAGCACGAGCATTTTCTATAGCCCATTCAGCGCGTGTGTGCACTTGTCATTCCCTAAAAACTGGATGGACAAAGGGGGTTTGTGGGGGGATGAGGGGGCTGTCCAATATGTTGGCCAAATGAGTTCGCCCAGCGGGAACTTCTGCCTCAGCCAGAGTGATTTTCCTCGTTCTCTTGGCGAATGTACGAGTACGAGTATACCACTTTGTTTCGGGGTGTTCTCCAAGGGCACTAAAACGCAGAACAAGTTGCCACTTCATCTCCATAAAACCTGCTGATAGCAGACATCTTGTGAAATATATATTTTTAGCAAATCCGAGGCTGGCAGAAGATTGTAACGATGGTTAGACAACTCTAAATCCTTATCTGGAGGAGTAAGTGTGTAAAAGTAATGAGAGTAATTTAAAACCTTAA